AGGAAACAATTATTCTTGCCATGTGAGCCTAGTTTAACAAGTCCAATGTGGTTAGCTCCCAAATTGTATCATTCATCCTCCAATCTTATTACATCTGTGTTTCCAACCACCTTACCAGGTATAAATGGTATAGATCTGTATCTTGGGATGGCTCACTTTCAGTGCAAAGCAGACTAGAAATACTGCTCAAATTTATTCTCACTGGAAAAAGTTAATTTCCTCACTCCTCCAGAACCATCTTTGAGTGAAGTTAAAACACTGTAGACTACTTCTAGCTAGTATCAGCATGCTGTGCAATACTGTTTGTATAACCAGTCTCAATTTTACCCCTCAGGGAATTGGGAAATGTATATTATTTCCTATTGTATGTGTAATTCATTGGTTTGCTTTCTCGTTTGGTTTGTCCTTCTTTCAAACATGTCCTGCCTCATCAAATTCAACTTAGCGGATATAAATGAATTAAAAGCCTTAAGGAAAGAATAAATATTGAAAGAAAGTCTTAAACTAGAGGGGAAACTAGAGGGGAATTAGAATAGGAGAATAAAAAGTGATGCTTTTCAAGAGAGTTTCATTTCAAGGGATCTGAAACGAAAATATTCATAGAAAATTACACAGCACAGCGAGCAATATAGAAGTAGAAATACGTTGACTAAATGAAGAGAGTAAACGCTTAAAGATAAATGCACTATAGGCTTTCAGTAGGTAGTAATGGATCTAGGACACAAAAGTTAAATACACTTGTGGTTTCTACAAAAGGAAGCAAGTGAGACAAGGAGTGAGAATTCAGTGTTGAAGTTAGGCCTTTCCTATGTGTTTTCCGATGAGTCCAGATACTATTCATATTCACCACAAATATATAGGAGTGAATAATAAATGTCAAACATTAGCCCAGAAAATTCTCCACACCATTCATACTCTAACTAAAGAGAAACATGATGCATAATACATTTCTCAAAAAACTTTTATGCAGCCACAGTTAAAATAATTAAAGGTTTACAACCTTCATCTTCATCTCCACGAAGAATATTAGAGAATAAAAGGAGTTTCAAAGACTTCTCTTGAATGGAAGAGAAGCAACAGTCTCTCCTATGCTGCCACTGATTTCCCGGATTCAATTTATATACTATCTAGTAAAACAAATCTTTATTCACCATTCTGGGTGTTATATTATATTCCCACAGGGCTGTGGTCTAGTCAGGGAGACAGATATGAGAAAGATAAGTCACAGCACAATGTGATGCAGATTATATTAGAGCACTTAACAAGTGTGAACCAAGTGTTACAGAGCTCAAGAAACTTGAGAAGAACACTAAGAAGTCACCAAAGATACATCAATTGTTGGAGCTCCAGTGGTACAATCAGTAAGCATGCAGTACTTATGACTTGTCAATTGCTATGTACATAATATTGACATAATCTTTGAATAGAGGGAGATAAGGAAAGCAAACTGAATCCATCAGCGTCATTATGGCCTGGATAAGACTGTAGCTTAGGTATGTCAACATAATTTAGTTGTTTATTCCAAGAAATCTTTGCCCGAAAAAGATAAGATTCTAAATAAAACAAAGCAAATAAAAACAAAAACAATTTATATTTTGTGGTTATTGTTTATAGAGGAAATTCCTACAGGTTGAAGACTATTTCTACAGGTGAAGCCCTGCTTACCTGGGCAAACAGCTTGTTTCTCAAACAACAGCTGACATATCAGAAATCTTCAAGACCCTTGCTTGCAGTGTCCACTAATCCTGAACTATCAGCTTTGCTAATCCCGATCAGTTCCCTCCCTTGACAGACATACCTTAAACCATTTGCGCATAGATCCCAAAGCCCTACAAATAATCTTACTTTCAGGTTCTGACACACAGTTAATCAAGTCAAGGTGGCACTTTCTCTTATCACAGTAAGTCCTATTATTTAATTGTGCTTTATTAACAGGTAATCTGATGATATTTGGGAAGTTCAACAAGGATTTTTTTTTTTTTTTTTTTTGAGGCGGAGTTTCACTCATGTTACCCAGGCTGGAGTGCAATGGCGCGATCTCAGCTCACCGCAACCTCCGCCTCCTGGGTTCAGGCAATTCTCCTGCCTCAGCCTCCTGAGTCGCTGGGATTACAGGCACGCACCACCATGCCCAGCTAATTTTTTGTATTTTTAGTAGAGACAGGGTTTCACCATGTTGACCAGGATGGTCTCAATCTCTTGACCTCGTGATCCACCCGCCTCGGCCTCCCACAGTGCTGGGATTACAGGCTTGAGCCACCGCACCCGGCCAACAAGGATTTTTTAAAAGGCTTGCTCATTTAATTGGTGTGTACTTCTGTACAGTAGAATCATTTTTCTATGTCAGGCCAATTCACCTTCATTAACAGGTCTCTGTTGATAATGTTAATTAACTGACTATTTTAGGTAGGCCTCATTTAAAATATAAGATCTCTTCAAGAAGTTTGCCCTTTCTAACTACAATCCACTACCAGATATCCAATTCATTGCTGTTAGCTACTAGACCATATTTTACATTTGTATAAGCCATCAACTGAGGAACCTGTTAGAAATACAGGTTTCCATGCTTCACTTACAGTGATCCTGATTCAGGGAAATTAGCACAAGGCCCAGGAATCTCCATTAAAAAAAAATATATATATATATATATATGTATATATATATGTGTATATATATATATATATATATATATATGCATGCCAGTTTTTTCCTAATGCAGGCTCTCTTTGGATCACACTTTGAGACACAATGCTTTCCTCTCCCCATACTAACAAACATAAGTATTATACATATATACACACTCATATTTAACTACTGCACACATTTATAGTGCAAGTAGGATCACACTATACATACATATTATCTGTCCAAATCATCACATACAGATCTGCACTTTTTTTTGGCACCCCCCATCTGCACTTTTTAATGGCTACATCATATTCCTCTATTAATAGACAGATTTGCAGGCTTGTTGTTGCTATTACAAGCAATGCTGCAAGGAATATCTTGCACTCTTATGTTTACGCGTTTGTGCTAAATCTTCAGTAGAATACAGAGAATAGAATAAATATAGAAGAGTAGGATTGCTGCTTCAGAGGGTATGAGGTGCACCTTAAAGTCTGACAGATCCTGTTGAACTGCCCACTGATTCATTTGTACCAATTTACAGTCCTGCTAATCATCTCAGTGAGATTTCCCCATACCGATGTCAATACTAGAATCAATTCTTCTTCATCAGTCTGACAGGTAAAAAAAAGAGAGAAATCTTATTTTAATTTGCATTTTACCATGCTTTTACTAACAGAATAACCAGCATTGTTTGACCACTAAAACACAATTATCTCTAATTCTGTAAAACGTATTGTGATTTACTTTTAGAACACTTTGATTTTATCTTACCTTAAAACTATCACCTGTAAGACAGACGGGGTGAGTGAATTTTAAATAAATGTCAGTTAGGTAGTATTTAATTAGCATCTTCTTTTACCAGTTGATATAAAAGTGAAAGTCCTAAGACCTGTGTTCAAGGCCTGGTTTTGCCACTCAGCGTTTAGGTGACCTTAGGCAAGTCCTCTACCCTATTGAGAGCTTCAGTTTCCTCTTCTGTAAAATGGGGATTCTATGCACTTTATAAGATGATTTTGAGTATAAGATGATCATTTTAGTTACACATATTAGCTAGCACTACTATCACAACAATATAATGCAAATAATTAGAATTGATTGTAAAAAAAATCTTTCTTCATAACAATAAAACAATTATCTTGATATCAACAAAGTCAGATTGTAGTGAGTCAACTACGCAGACTACTGAAGTTATGGAAGAGTACATATTGCATAGGGCTAAAACACTGCTTACAAAATCACTACTCTGGTTCTCTATAAGTATCCTGCTAACAGTAGTTAAGAACACATTTCCTAAATTACTTAGTTCCTTAGATGAAATGGAATTATCCAAATATATAATCAACTACAAGCCAGGAATTTTTTCAAGTGTCTAACAGGGTTTTTTTTGTTGTCGTTATTTGAGACGAAGGCTCACTCTGTCACCCAGGCAGGAGTGCAGTGGTGCCACCTCAGCTCACTGCAGCCTCTGCCTCACAGATTCAAGCAATTCTCCTGCCTCAGCCTCCTGAGTAGCTGGGACTACAAGCACCCGCCACGACACCTGGCTAATTTTTTGTATTTTTAGTGGAGATGAGTTTTCCCCAAGTTGGTCAATCTGGTCTTAAACTCCTGACTTCAGTGATCCACCCACCCCAGCCTCCCAAAGTGCTGGGATTACAAGCGTGAGCCACTGCGCCCAGCCATAGGTTGTTTCTAAGTGCACACTATCATGCAATTCATGTAATGCCACTGAGGTTTCCTAAAGCCAACAAATAAAATTCCAAAACTGTACTATAGAAGAATACACTGAAGAATTCATCTTTGATTATTTTCCAAAGCTAACATCTACCTAACTCATTTATTCATTAAATGTCTACCATGCACAAAGTCCTATCTAGGTACTAGGGACACATACTCTCTGTACTCGAGATATAGACTCTTTCTCCTTCTTAGTCTTTTTTATTTTTTTTATAGATAGGATCTCATTATGTTGCCCAGGCTGGTCTCAAATTCCTGGGCTCAAGCAAGCCTCCTGAGTATTTGGGACTACTACCCACCACACCTGGCAATGAAGATTCTAAAGCTGGAAGGACAAAGTGATGTTACCTAAATTTGCCTGTGCTTCTGATAGGACAAATAATCCACCACTGATGCATGGCCCATAGAGATCATCTTCATTTTTGGATGAATGTGAGTGGACCTGTCATACTCCTTACCTGTATGAAATGTAAAGCACAAAGCCAGGAATGAGGTCACTATCCTATCACTTACCCCGAAAAGCTCTCAGTGGCTCAACTCACCTAAGTCTTCCTCCTTTACTCTCTTCCTCCATATCATAACTTTTGCAAATTTTTATAACAATTTTTTAAATGAGTAAACTGATCTGGAAAAAATATTTTTTTCAGTTTTTATTTCAATAAAAGCGGCAACACTTGTATAAAGTACTGCATATGGAGAACATTTGCACAAATATACAAAAAAATCAAAAAACTAAATTCCAGTTTATTTCCATAGCCTTAAGAAGGTAGGGAACACATAAAAATATCCAAAGTCATAGTTTATTCTTTAGGAATGTAAACTGTAGGAATACAATTAGAAACAAGTATATTTACTATGAAAAGATTAGTATCACTACATGATTAGAAATAAAGTAAGAGGCACACAGTAAGTTCCATAGAAGAGAAAGCAGCAATACATGAAATAGAATCTTGAGTTTATGGTAAAAACTTCCTATTAACACACATGTACTCTAAAACTCTACTATAAAAAACACAAAACATCTTCCAAAATGTTCATTGCTAGTTTCTTTAGATATCCACAAGTTACAAAGTATAGAAGACAATATATTTATCTTCTCTGATGAATTTAATAATATTAAACATAAATCTGAATAACTCAAAGTACTGTGTATAATTTTACTAAGCAACAAATCTAGAAGTATAAATTCATGCTCATTAAAGGACTAGAAAGTTTTAACTTTTCATACAAAGGCTGGGAAGACACTATTATACATTAATTTGTATCTACAATGCTTAAAGTACCTATCAAATTATTTTTAAGTGGTTTTTAAAAAATATTTTTCAGTTACATTATTCAACATATGTATTTCCTTGATGTGCTTCCCTTTAATATAGATTTATTGTACCTAGATGCAAATGCTAACCTGCCTTATTTTAAACATTTATTTAAAATTATGTCTCAGAGTACATCTCTTCTCCATAATTCAACAGTTTTAACATTTTAGTTTTATTCTTCCAAAATAGGCAAAATCCCTTAAAATTGGGATCATTTTGATCTATTTTGGTTTTATAAATATATTTCCCTTTAATTCAACTTTTTTTAAAAAACTGAGTAATATTTGCCAAGCAGTTGCTTCACAATTGAAAAGGGCAATGAAATACTGCTTTTTCAAAACAAATTTAAGTCATCATTTAAATGCTGAGAATTCCAACTCTTCAAGTCTAGAGAGCTTGCCTTTAAAATTTCCATAGTGGTACACAAAGGACTCCAGGGTGCTTTCCTGTGGCTTTAGGAAGGGAAAGGAAGCATTTGCCCTGGGTACTCTAGGGCAGTCCCTTGAAAAGTCTACGTTCTCTCCCCATTTGGATTCCAAAAAGCTAGTGCTGGCTCCAATGCCACCAGAACACCCCAGGCCATTGGGTTTTCAAAAGTGAGAGGTTGGGCGATTTCAAGAGACTTAAAATGTGCAATGGAGCCACAATTTCTGTTCAGATCCTCTGAACTACGAGGTACAATATCCCAATTTTGTGTGGAATCCTTCTCATGATAAAAATATTATTCTGGAGACTTAGGAGGTCTATGACTATCAGCATCTTTATAAGAAAGTGACCTACGAAAGCTACCCCAACTTTTAAATTTGAAAGATGAGTGGTGAGATAGTAATATGGATAATAGTAATTGTTACCACAGTTAAGATTATCCAATTTTCATAATTTCTATAAAAACTTTCAATGAGTAATCCTTATTTGAAATAGTATCAAAGGAACTATAAAAGAATTTTGTTGTTAACATAACTTCACACCCCAGAAAATCAGTTAGTGCAAATCATTTGAAGCAAAAATTCAGAACCATTTTACTGAGTAAGCCTTCAGATATATTTTTTTAAAAGAATATACAAATGCAAATTTGTTGTGCAGTTTATAAATGGGTGGCACCCCTTTTCATACTTCAAATTTCAGGCATTTACAGCTCTGATTCCATTTATGGTTAACAAGAAAAATATAAAGCGTTACATTTTTTATTGTAAAATTCAGGATCATTTGCAATTTAGAATTCAAAGACTTAAGAAGCCATATGTCAAATATTAAATTTATTAATTAGCTGTCAAAACCGTTAAGATTATAATGATCTAGGGTCTGACACATTTGATTTAGGGCTGTGAGACCACTGGGAATTCTACATTTTAGATAATTTGTTTGCACTCTAACACTTTCTTTTCATAAAATTCACTTGAAGACCTTGTTAAAAATGCAAATTCTGATTTAGTAGACTTAGAGTGACACTAAAATTCTGCATTTTTAACAAGACATCAGATTATGCCAATCCTACTTACTGGTCCTCAGACCACACAACCAGCAAAGGTCTAGAAGAATACCCAAATAAGGTTCCATTACAGTGGTAGAACATTAACATCTGATCTCTCAGCTGTGTCAGCTAACATTTCCTCAAACTTATTCTGCAATGTTTCCTAAGCACCTCAACTTGCTTAAAATGCCAATCTTACAAATTCATTTTTAATAATACCAATACTATTAATAACTATGCACAGGGGAAATTCATTGTTAAAGTGACAAAAAGACATTAGTAAACTCACAGTGACATTTTACAAATATTATAATTTGTATGCAGGATTCCTATTAATACCAAGTTTCACTGCCTGACTGCCTTATAGTTCTTAACTACAATTTATGCCAATAGATCTTATTCCATTCTGTTACTGGAGCTAAGAAAAAAAATCAAATTCATTTATGCCGAAAACCACATTGTAATCGGGGCTAATGAATGAAAACTAGCTCATACTTTTTGAAGAATTTAGTTTAAAATGGTAGTCAAAGCAGTTGTAGTCAAAACTATGTTGAAAATAAATGCTCTGGCAGCCTTCCAAACATACAAATTTTTCACATATCTGAGCTCTGCATAAGCAGGTACAAGAGGAAACACTAGCATGCTCTATTGGTGACCACAGCAAGGGACTATGAAGAAGAAAATCGCTGTGTACTGACAGTGAAAGAGCCAAGAACTGGACAGCTCCTTAGGCCTTCCTCAACAGTCAACTGACTCAGCCTCAGCCCTGCTTCCCCTCTCTCATTCTGAATGATGACTTAAGTACACTTGCTTTACAAGGGAACCGCAACCATAGGCAAAAGGACTACCGCTAGCAAACACCAAATGTTTATGTCCATCAAAGGTCACCTACAGATACATACAAGTTTGTTTTAACTTCGGCCATATCGCCTTTATTTTTATTTTTTAGTTGGGAGGTAACTAAACTGATTACTCTTTTGATATCACACTAAGATATTTAAGATAGGCCTGTTCACAAACAAGAAACACATTTCATTTTTTTTCATATTTTAGATTTAAGAACACAAACAGAAACAACCCTAAATTAGTCAATAAATAAATGTCCTTTGTCCATAGTTCACAAACTTTATTTTCTTTCATGACATTTTATAGATGAAAGATGTATCTAATTTCCTTCATTTGCAGACAAACAATTCCATATTATACAGTTGATACTGGTATCTTGAGAGCTGTGTTGCAAGATTTACACTGATTTCCAGGAAGTCTTCAATGATGTATGCTCTGAATTATAGGAGTCCAAACTAACTAGGATTTCCAAAGTTGAGCAGTAGGGCAAATCAGCTTTACCGCCTATTATACCTTAAGAACTGAAAGGGATCTTCACCTGCTAAATCCAGATCAAACACTTCAAAACAACACACCTACCAGCAATCTGATTTCTGATATAAAAATGTTTCAAAGATAACAGAAATGTCTCTACCTCATATAATATTCTAAGAACTGGGTTACCAGGCATTTTCCAGTGCTTTGAACAAACTGTTCTAATCTTAAAGATGCTCTGGTTACAAACATTTTCATCAGGTGCTTTTCATGCACATCATTTTCGTTTTTCCACATGCCTGTTTTTCAGATTGGCTTCCTGACCAGGAGCTGCAGAATTCCTGGAGTTGTGCCTCTGCCCCATCCTCTATAAAAGTTCCCATACATGGAGACTCCCTTTGACTCTGAAGGCCAAACACACAACCACCAAAATAGGAGCTATTTTAAAAAAAAACACACACACACAAACAAACAAAAAAAAAACCCACCTTACAACCTCACATGAGATATAACCAACTTGATCAGAAAACCTGTCAAAATTATTGTCACTGACAATCTTAGGGCAACAGTAACAAGAAGGAAAAAAAAAGACTCAAGCCAAGGGGAAAAAATTGTAATCAAGAAATAAAACCGTATTTCAACCTAGACAACACTCCCTTCATAAAGTCAAGGGAGCCTTCCGAATTTAAGACACCAGGCTCCTCTGTCAGGAATATGGATAAAAGACCCAGGGCACATTCATGAAGAAGCAAAGTTGTATTTCCAGGTTCACTGGATTATGGGAGAAAATATGTTACTAATTAATCTGTGGACAGAGTAATGCTAATACTAGGAGGTCTCTGCTGACCTGATTGATGCTTCATTGGAAGTTCAGTTCTTTCTGAAACGTAAATAAGCTTTTCTTCTTGGAGACTACAAGCAGAAAACCTATTGGCATCTGCCCCAGTCCCACAACCAACAGCAGATGACGGGTTATGTGGGACTGTGACACCACTGACTTGTTCAAAGGATTTACTAAATACAGTCGCTGCAGTCTTAGCCAAGCCATGGCAACTAGGCTTAGGTAGGGATTGGCTGGTTGTTAAAGTAAGTCTCTTCAAAGAGAGAAGCTCAAGATTCTCACTTTGGGCTCTCTGAGTTTGTTTTCGAGCAAAGTGATCTTTGCAAGATTCCCCTGTAGTTTCTTTTTCTTTTCCTCCAGTTTTGCTTCCTCCTGACCGTCTCTGGTTTTTTCCTATACTTGTCTTATTACTACAATTGTGACTACTGTTTGATAAACCCGACTGGCTGGTACTAGACGCAGCCCTGGAATAAAATCCCTCGTCAACTTCAGATATGTCCATCAGTTCTTCTTGACCTGTTAATTCTGTATTTCCTAAACAAAAAAATGACAAAGATTAATTAACATTATTTTAAGCAATCTTTTTTAAATGATTAACACCAAATCAGTTACACTTTAAATAAATTAAGCTTTAGCATAACTTTATAAAGCAAATGATTATAGAACAAAATCAAAGGATAAATCAAAACATTTATTATAAAAATGTAAAAATAGTTCACTGTAATTAAATGACAGTAATTTATACTGTATTAAACAAAAAGCATGCCAGAAACCATACCCCATTATGTTTTTAGAAAGAATTCTCCTATTCATGCAAAAGATAAGAAACAATTAGAAATATTATCGTACAGTAAAACTAGGGGTGAACTCTCCTTCAGTAGCAAAGCAGTATAAAATCAAAGCTCTTACCAAGAAACTTTTTAAAAATTGAAATTAAGAATACTTTAAAGACATTTTTAGAAGGTTGCATTCTATATTGTAGGTTATTTTATCAAATTTAAAAAATCTAGACTATAAATATCACAAGCTCAATGTAAAATTCTATATACATTATCCTTCATGTCAAAGATGGCAAAAAGACAAAGCTGAAAAAATAATTTTACATCTCCAAACATAAGCAGAAAATTATTTTGTAAGAAATTTCCTGCCTCAGTTTCCATAACAATTTACTTAAAGATAATATAGGTATAATCATTCTGAAGAGCATTTAAGAGTCATTGAGAAATTGTGGTGCATAATTCATGCATTTGGATTATTAGATCACATGCAAAATTTTTGAGACTGTGCAACTGTTGCTTAACATGCATCAGGTGGCCCTTTGCCTTAAGATACCTTGGAGTGCAGCTATAAAGTGCTCTGCTAAAACTGCACTCTGCCAGGTGAGTTTATTCCATCCTCCATCATTTTTCTTACAGATTTTTGCCTCCTGATCTCTGGCAAGCTTTTGCTCTCAGTTCTAGGATCTGTGGCTGTTTCCTGTACACCCTGTATATGCTGAGCATCAATCTCTCCTAGTGTTCTGCCTTTTTCCCCATTCCCGGTTCTCTCTCCGGCCACATTTGTGACACTAATCTCAGGAATGACAAGGATGCCCAATTCAGTAGTATCATTATTGTTGTCAGGTTGCTCTAGAATTGAAGATGATAAGACAAAATGATGGATGAAAACAAAACAAAAATGTGAAACAAGAAAAGCAAAAGACTCAAAACAAAAATTAGATAACTGAATGTTATGAATTAAGCCAAATATTTGCACTAATGATTTCCATAATTTATAATACTCTGACAGCATCAGAGATAATAGGGTCATATTCTTTAATTTTAAATGACAAACAAAAAATTCACAGAGCATCAATTTACGTTCTGCATTTTTTTCACACATATGTTTCACATGGAATATGACAGAAATTTTCTAATAAATCAAAATAAAATTTGTTTTTAAATTGTACTTTTTGTGTTCTTTGGGTAATTTTCTAGTGTTTTTAAGCTAATATGGAGACCACCTGAATTTATGTCAAGTCTTAGGCAAATGTTCAAGGACCTACAGCCGAAACTTTAGCTTTGGTCAACATTAGGAACCAAGCCACATAGAAGTTCTTCTTTGTACTCTTAAAATTCTATTTTTTTTATTAGGCTACATTGAGACTGACTTAATAAACCATGATATTTGGGAAAATGCTTATTCATTTATCATATCATGGTTAGTACTGCCACAGATATAGTTTCTGTCTCACATATACATCATCTTATATATTATTTACAGTAAATATTAATGTGGCTGTGATATAGTTAAGCAGTTGATTTCTTCAGACTCATACTTATTTCATAAATTTAGTTCATTACTTGACTGGAGAAAAACAAAAATGGATTTGGAAAAACAAATTGGCTGTCAGTCCTTTATCTGAAAACAACCATTATAAATGAAACAAAGGAACAAAACTCCTAACTAGTTAATACCTGTAGACAAAATTTTATTCTAGTCTTAAATCACAAAGGCATAATGTTATTTAAAGTCATTACGGAGTTATTCATGTAAATGGGAAAAAGTAACATAAATATACCTAGAAGGCAACAGTAGTGAAACAAAGTTCAAAGCAACATAAGACTATGTAAAACAGCATATACTTTTAAAAAAATGTAGACCACAAACCTGCTTATGGGACATCACCTACTATTTTCAAATATTTTAGCGATAGTATTGTCAAACTCCCATTAATGATGCTAAAGGCTGAGAAACAGTAACAGGTAGTAAAAGAATGAAGGCTAGAGCCACATATTCCTATGCTTCCCTAACTTAGCTGCACATTTGTATCACTTGTGCATCTTTAAAAATTACTGATGCCTGGTTTCAATCCCCAAACATTCTAACTTATAGCTACTGTGAGATATGACCTGGGTGTAAGATTTTTATTTTTATTTTTATTTTGCACTTTGGAAGGAGAAGGCATAAGATTTTTTTAAGCCCCAAATGACTAATGTGTAAGAAAGCTTGGGAACCACAGCTCTATTCTGATTCTTGCACACTTTAAAAACTTAAGACAAAAGTTGTTAAGGGTGCCTTGGATACGCCATACCCAGCAGCAATATGTACTTCTGGAAGCCCCTCCTCAAAGCTTCATGGTGCCCCAAGGTTCTGAGCCAATGTGCTGGTATAATTATTTCCCCTTAATTAGGCTTTTGACTAAAGGTTCTCTAAATTAAGTTTTTATTTCCTAGATAGGCCAAAAAATGTTGGTGAGGTAGTACTGCACTACTGCTTCTGGGTGCTCTCTATTAAAGGTTTAATGAAACTAAAAAGCTCCAACCAAGCCTGTTACCAATTGCTAACAACTGTCTTCCAAGTGATGGCAAATAAATTCTTATTGAGGTACATGCCAGAGGTCACTGCAACTGAGATAAAATCACCATGGCACTGTGGAGTGACAGCCAAGACTTGTTTATTTACATTGTAGAAGCTGTTTCACAAAAGATCTACTGCAGGTATCTTCAGTTAAAAAAAAAAAAAAAATCAAACTTTGGAAATTATCCAGACATAAAAAAGGCAATGAATATTAAAATTTAACAAAATTTTAAAAGCTAAGTATAGGTGGCCTAATAGAATACAGAACAATACTTACACTGAATTGCCCTAAGTCACTTTCTTGAGAGTGTTCACATATATTATTCAATTATATTCTCAAAACAATCTGTTAGTGAGCTTCTGAAGTAGGCAAGTTGATTCCCATTTACAGACAAGGAAACTGAAGTTCAGAAAGAGCTATGCAACTATTCAGCTGGGGAAGCCAACCAGTAAAATCTTTTAACTTCAAATGTCTATTCTAACGTACTATAAATACTAATTCTTCAATTACTTTGAGTCCATTTGAGTTAAATATCCTCTACATCCCACAATTAGGTTTAATTTATTTGTGTAGATTCCTGGCCATTTTATAAAAAGCAAATAATTTACTTTAAATGGAGAGCCAGAGAAAATAAAAGTCTGGAAGAAAACCTAGGAAAGTAATAACTCTTGAGTTTAGATCTTTTTTTTTTTTTTTTTAATTGGGTTAATTTTTTAAAAGATGCCAATGAAAGCTTAATCTAAAATGGTGCTTCAATGGTGGAAATTTACAATTTTGTAAGGAAGACTACAAAATGACAAGGAGAATATTACATAAAGCAGCACAAGGCAACTGAAATGTAATCACATTTATCAGAATAGTGATAAAGGTCTATAGCCCAAGAAGCAACGATATTACATTTTTTAAAAATCATGGAATTAAATGGCAAGTAGAAAAATGAGATCATGCGTTTTCCCACAAGCACAAATCTTTGACTAATTAATTGATATTTATTATCACTCAAAAATTGTAACAATGGCAGATTTTTAAAATTGCTTATTAAATTTATAGTAAAGAGCAAGAATTCTCTACAGAGAATTCTAGAAAGAACAGAAATGTAATTCTCAGGAAAATTACAGAACAAAGATAATTACATAATCTAAATGAACATTTGTTGCCTTATCTTGCTCTCTTGTTATCTCTCCAACTTCTTTCCCTGTATAACTCTGTGACCCAACATTCCTGCCCACACTGGCTTACTGCTCTCCTGGCTGTTCTCTTCTCCTGATGGTGGAATGGTTCTTTCCTTACTTCAAATTTTTTTCAAAAATTTATTTTACAGTGAAGTCTCCCTTGGTCAACCCATCCAAAGTTTTAATAACCCCCATGTTTCACATACCATCTTCCTTGTTTCTGCTTCTTCTTCATGCTTAACACTCTCTAACCTACAATTATTTATTTGTTTACTAGACCTAAGCTCCATAAGGAAGGAGTTTTTGAAATTTTCATCTAGTCTCTACTATATACTTAGTACCTGGAAAAGTAGCTTGTGTACAGTAGGCATTCAATAAATCTTTCTTTTTTTGATGAATTGAATAAATATTCTGATAGGGGATTAAATTATTAGAATAAGTACAAGTAAAGAAAAACATACAGAATACAGGAGAAGGGTAAGCTGTGAATGTGTTACTTGACTGGATAAACGAAATATATATAGCTTATGCTAATAAGAATTTTTACATGGCAAAGAAAAACAAAGACTCTTCGTTTTCAAAAACTGAAGGAGCCATCTCTAAACAGAGGTTTAGCAAGATGCTTAGGTCAAAAAAGATCATTTTTAAAATCTATTTTTTAATTACGTTATCCAGAGGATAGCATATATAGCTAAAGACTAGAACTTAATTCTTTAAGAAAATCATATCGAAGATGCTGTAAGGGAAAATAAATGCATAATAAAATAGATTTTGTTTTCCCCAGAACTTAACAATCTATGCAAATGGAGTTATTATTAATCCACACCTTAAAAAAACCAATATTTGATTTCAAATAAATCAAAAAGCTCAAAAAGATCCAAAGAGAAACTTCTCAGGATGTATTTTATTTGTATAACCACCTATATGCATAAATAAGTAAACTCTCCACATGTCAAAATGAGAGTTAAAGAATACTTTTAATAGACATTTCCAAATCAGTTCTCAAAGGTACTCAAGTATTA